TTGTACTTAACGTAATTCATTGTTTAAGATTAACATTCAAGTAAATTTAGCGTGATTCATTTTTTATAAATAATGTAAAAGAAAGTAGGTTAAGATTGGAATATATAAAGTTGTGTCAAACCAATGGTTTTTATTGTAGCACTTTTCCATTCAACAAGTGAAAATACTGCTTTTAAATACAGTCTATGTATTCCTACCACACTATTAAAATTATTTTCATTCATATACGAAACTATTTGCTAGATTTGCTAAGATTATTAGGATTGCATATATTTAGGATGAACGATTTATGCAGTCTTTGAAATAAAGCAAAAATAAATATAAAGAAGGGTTAACATAATGATCGATTCTAAGAATTGCATATATTTAGGATGAACGATTTATGCAGTCTTTGAAATAAAGCAAAAATAAATATAAAGAAGGGTTAACATAATAATCGATTCTAAGGATTAATTGTATGAGTTAAGAAAAATAATTATATTTTTTAATGTTGTGGAATTTACCGTTAACTTTCTGCGTTTATAGAAATTTGAAAAAGCTTGCGGTTTCAGAAATATAAAGTGCCAAAAATTCAAATTTTACAAATTCCGGGAGATCTTCTCTTGAGAGGAGGTGGAGATGGGAAAAATTTTCTTCTGACGAAATAAATTATTTGTTATTGTCTAAAAGTTGCCAAAGTTTCGGGGTCCCACAACCTGTGGTCTAGCAGAAAAACGACATCAAAAATTTGGGAAAAACCGATTTTATATAACGGTTAATTTGAACGCCCATTTCGTTTTTTAAAGTTTAACTATAGTATGCCGCGATAGGAGAACCAAGCCCCAGGCTTTCTGGGTTTGCAAAATTTGAAAAATGCTTATGCTTTTACTGCAATAAATAGCTAAAAAATGGCAATTTTAGGGGGAGATAGGTAAAAATTTTGTTCTACGGAAATAAGTTTTCAGTAAAGGTCTATCTACAAATAAAATTTCAGCTCTTTATCTTCAAGGGTGTAGAAATTTTGTAAAAAGACACACGGACGGACGGACAAAGTGAAATTAATAAGCACTTTTTTCAAAATTTTTTTGGAAAATTGATTGGTTTTAAGTAATTATTAGAAAAACTAGTTTAGCATATTTTGGTTCATTAATTGTAGTTATTCATACAAAAAATCTGACTATTTTAATCGCAGTGGTTTGCAGGGGATGAAACAACGTCGCGGTGGATGACAATTATCGTTTAACCAACATTAATTTAACGCTGGACACCGTCATAATTGGTTGATTCACGTGGCAGGTGCATCAAGTCCACCGCAACCTAATTTGCTATTACGTTGCCGTTGCTACCCCTATCCCGTGATCACTAGGCTATCATTGACGGTACGATTACAGAGGGCCTATCTAAGGCACCCGGTTCTCTTGAGGAAACTATCTTAATCCTCAATGCCACAGATAATGAAAAATGGTCTCCTCCTTATCCATTTCCTAGTAGCTGCGACACGTTGTGTTGAAAGTCAATCCTAGCCCAGCCGGTCTGGCCTCAATGGCCAGTGTCCTGTGTAGACTGCCATTAGACTGGCAATATCCCACCGAGACATTGCCAGGAGCCCATCCGATTTCACACATTTTGGGTCACATTTTTCTTATCGACGCGCATGTGGGCAAGGCTTTCCACCTGCGGTCGCTGCATGATAAATAACATCTCTATATCTACGTTTTTACTGTGTCAATGAGATCGAAAACCAGTTCCGCCACGGAAATGTCCATGGATGAGCTGGCTAGATGTTGATTCACCCTTCATTTCCCGGTGTATTATGGTCTCCCGGGACCGAAAGAAGTTTGACACTATGGTGACCGCACATATCTGCACGCATTGACCCACCAAGGAGGTCTTTGAAAGCCCTATGTGTTCTGTTCTTTAAAAGTCTTAAACCAAACGGCAACCCAGAACTCAGTTAATAATTAGTAAATTTTTGTAATTGCGAATTAATTCATTTTATATTTTGAGAAAAATATTCAAATCGTAAAGATACATCATTCTACAAAATATAAAACAACAAATGTTTTACTTAAACATAGTAAAAAAATGGAACAAATATTATTTCTTTCAACTATTCTAACACAAATAAATCAAAATTCAGTTAAAAAAAAATTTATTTTCACTAAGAAAATAAAAAATTTTAAAGTGAATAAAAGGAAAAACAAAACAAAATTTAACAAAAATAAGATCATAAAAACATAACCCGCGTAATCTCATTTCATGTGGTTTAAAAAATTTTTTTATTTGAAATTTTGTCAATCTTATAAATACTTAAAAAAACCAAGCACCGAAATCGAAAATCAAATTTTAGTAAATCAAGTTTAAAGTTTGAAAAAACAAAAATTGAACCAAAAATTTAACAAAATGACTTCGTACAAAAGTTTAACAAAAAAGTTGGTTTAGTCAAAATAAATAATGGCCAAAATAGCCATATTGAATAATATGATCGAAATAGCACCAATCAAAATTCGGATTGTTTTAGAAATAACCCAAATCAGTATCCTGCCCAACAGAAGTCTTATTTTTGCAGAAAAGTTAAAGAGTTGGTTATTTAAAATAATTGAAAATTATTGGATTTTGCCCTTTTTTCTCAAAAGCATTTCGTGGTGTACGTTATTTATACCATTTCTATACGCAAAATGTTAAAGCTTCACCTTTGAACGTACAACAAAACATTTACCGAACTGAATCAATTAAATCCTCTTAGCCAACCAGTTTAAGTTTAGGCATAATGATAACGCGGAGCACGATTATGTCTAAAATGTCTTATATGAGTCAAAAAGTTATTAAGCAAATAAATTAAAGAAAATAAAAAACAATGTCAAATTTTCCACAACTGAACAATCTTAGACTTTCACAAGTAAAAGTTTTTTATATGATAACGAGAAATTTGTAACTTTTGTAGATGCGCCTTTTCTTTCTAAATTATTTAAGTTCTAAATTAGAAATGCGAAAGCATATTGTATTAAAAACACCTTTTTATTAAACTTTTCTTATTTCTTGTATAATTTTTTCTAAAAAAAATACCTTTCAAAAATATAAAATGTGCACAAACATACACATTACTTAAAAACAAAACAAAGGAAAAAACAAACATTTTAGAGCACAAAAACTTGTATGATATATTTAGATTTGTTTATTCATCGTTCAACAATAACGTAAAATTGACAAAACGAAATGAAGAATTTTATTCTCATTTAAATTGAAGATATTTATGTTGACATTACTTTTAAGTTCAACTACTGCACAACACAAAAATTATTAGAAGTTAAAAAATAATTGGAAAAATATTTTAAGTAATTAAAAGTAGAACACATTTATACGTGTCGAATAAATGAATATTGTTATTTGAAAAATAAAAGAAACAAAAAAAGTTTTTTATCCTTCTTCTTTTTCAAAAAGAGATATTTGTGTGAGCGAAAAATTATGGAGAAACATACATAAAAATTTTATATTTCTTTGAACTAAATTGCACGCTGATACTTTTAATTTATTATTGAAAAATCCTAAAAATTGTTCAACTGTTTCACTATTCTTTACATGTTTTTAAATCTTTTGTACATATTAAAATATGTGCTTTTTTATGTTCAAAAATCAAAAGTAAAACTTATATACAGAGGCGGATTATATGATAAGCGAACTAAGCGGTCGCGGGGGTTCCCAAGCTTTTAGGGGCTCGAGAAGGTTTTTCTAGTGCTAAGGATTTTATTTTTAAACAAATTTTTTAAATTTTTTTAAAATTTGTATTTGAATACCAGGTCTATTTTTGCATTCTGGTTTTTTGTATCTTTTTTTATAACATTTTTAATTTTGCATATTTAATTTTCAAAAACATAATTTTTGCAAAATAGAAAATACAAATTTTTTGTAAATTATTTTATTCTCAGTAAATAAATTTTCAAAAATTAAGTTAGAAAAATCATAATAAATTTTTACTGAAACGTATGAAAAATTGCCTAAGAAATACTATGGGAGAAGACACATTAAATGATATAGCGATTTTATACAAATCTAAATATATCATACAAGTTTTTGTGCTCTAAAATGTTTGTTTTTTCCTTTGTTTTGTTTTTAAGTAATGTGTATGTTTGTGCACATTTTATATTTCTGAAAGGTATTTTTTTTAGAAAAAGAGTTTATATAAAAAATCGTTATTTTATTAATTTCGTAGCTTCTTTAGTTTAACCTTTTAAAGTTACGTTTCAATCGTAAATGAAACGAGATTCAAGTAAATTGGTTTGCCAAGTTTCTGTATTATTTTGTTATCAACTTTTGAATAATTTTACTAAATGAACTACCTTTTACTAAATTTTATGCAAAATATAGAATTAAATTTTTTATTTAAAAAAACCAAAATTTGAATAAATTGTTTTACATAAACCTGGAAACATGGAGTTTTTTTTTCATATTTTTGGGAATCTCTAAATGTGATATAATAAATCCGTAATATAGTTATGGTCACCTGATTCAGGAAAACTTTTTTACTTTTTGTATGATTTGATTATAAGGGTCCAGATATTTTTACCGCTTAGAGCCACCACTTTATTTGATGCACCGCTGCTTTTTAGAATACACATACATATATTACAAAAACGATATATTGTGTGGTATGAAAACAAATTTCAAAAAGCAATAATCTATACAGGGTGATTCACATAAGATGGTAAATAAATTCAAGCGCAATTTTTTGATCAATTTCTAGCAAAAAATTGGATGTGTGTCGGAGTATAGAATACTCGTTTTCGAGCTACAGCCTGTTGATAAAAAATGGTACCAGATTTTCAAATGGATTTTTCGCATGTTTTTGAGCACGTGTAACACGTTTTACTGGAAAAAATATGCGAGATGGAGGAAAATTATATATATGGATTAACTTTTAGATTTTATCGTATTGCCGAAAATCGTTAAAAATAACAAAAATTTTCGAGAAATTTTGAGTTTTTTAAGAAAATTTCAAAAAGAAAACAAAAATTCTGACATACCTGGAAAACTATAGCTCAAATCAACTCAATTGTAAGCACAAAAATAAGGAACGATCAATCGCCTATAAAACAAGCGAACAATGATAACAGTATGTTGCATGTTTCCAAAGTTATAAGCATTTATTTGTATGCAGAAGAAATCTGGTGCCTTTTTTTTCAGCAGGCTGAAGCTCGAAAACGAATATATCTGCACCACCCATACAATTTTTTGCAGGAAATTGATCAAAGAATCATCTCTGAAAATGTCCTTATGCGAAACACCCTGTATATTCTGTTTTCTTTCAATCCACCAGGACCTTTTCATTATATAACTAATAAAAATCTGCACAAAAATTTAAAAATTAATTTCGATGTATATATTCGTCTTCATCTGAAATAGCGTTCAATAAGATATTCCATTGAAATTTTTTTCATATATCTTTAACGCCAATTTATAAATTCGGTTTAATTTTTCTTTATTTGTAAGTTAGTGCATATTAGTAATCAAAAAACTTAAATAATACCTTTTTGCTCTTTTTTATTACTTAGCTTGATGAGCTTTATATTAAATATATATTAAGTTGGTACTTAAATACACTATTATACTTATATTTATATAATATATATATGTATATATATATATATTTATATATATATATATATGCATATGTATATATGTACTCGTATATATGTACCTATGTGTTATGTATTATATTTAGACAAGTCTTTTAGGTTTTTTAAAGACAAATTTTTTATTTTTTTCCATTCTAGTTCTAATTTGTTATTTTTCTTTCATTTAGTCCTTTAATTGTATGTATAATTTGCGGTACATTTTGTACAAAGTTTAATTAAATACTTTTTGTGCATTCAACTTTCACTAAATTTTTTAGTAATTTCTTTTTTACTAAGCTATAAATATTTTAAAAAATAAAATTTTTCAAATTTTTCAATATCGATAATTTTTTTATTTTATTCTGTATATGAAATATCCTTTTAATATTTGCTATATAGTTCAAAAGCTTATAAAAACTAAATATTTCACAAGCAGAATTCCAATCACTTTTGTCTAAAAAATCACACTGGCAAATTACTGACTTCCGATTAAATGACAACCAAATAAAAGCTTTCGTTGTGCTATATTCGTTATTTTATGTTGGTGTTTTTTTTACTACATTTTTACTGAATAGTAATAGATAATAAACAAACCTTAGAACGCAAGCATTTATTTTAAGAATAATACATTTCATATAAAAATAAAAATATCATATTTTTATATGAGTGCATATATTTATGTTCATAAATCTTACATAAACATATTTATGTTTATACACAAATATAAAATTTTATTTAAAAACTCTTTAGAAACAAATTTCCTGAAATTATGATTACAGCTACATATAAATTATGATATAAAAACATAAAAAAATATTTACAGAAATCTACAGAAATAAAGAATATTTTGGTGGTACCCATCATCCATTTTTAGCTGATGTTAAGGAATTCTTTTTCTTTTTAATAACGGCAGGAGAGGTGCAATAAAATTTCAAAAGAATTTTCTAATATATCGTACCTTTTTAAATATATGTGTTGCATGTCGATTTTACAAAGCACAGAGCTTTGACAACCTTGACGAAGAACATAGTGAAAAAATATGATACTATATTTAAAAGCTTTTCTCTAATTACAGATAGTAGGTATTTTTGTCTGCCTTCCTTATTATTCAGAAATATATAACAACAATATACGTAGTCATGCAGAAAATTAACATTTTTCAAAAGTGGAAAGTTAAAATTTCAGATTCTTCAATTTTAAAATTATGTTTTTCCAAAATCTGAACACATTATAACTAATTTAGATATTCCTTAAAAAAAGCAATTTTCTGAGGTTTCCAAATCATATCTACTAATGCGCCTATTTGACACAGGTACCGAGTTATAGTTAAAATATGAAAAAGTAAAAAATTCAGTTTAAATTGACTTAAAGCCCTTATAATTCCGAATATGTTAAACTGTGAACATCGTCTCCATACAAAAATTTTGCGAACTCATGAGATATAATACAATGGAATATAACAGTGAGCTTTGTTACAAGATATCCTGTATATGTATAAAACTTTTACATATATAGGATTAGCCAGAGAGATATGTAACAACATATACCACACGTTAGATATACCCACTGGAATAGGAAAAACTTTTGTTCCGGTTTAGGTGCCAAATCTCAAGGTTTTCCGAGATACGGAAATTTTTAACGAGTTTTTTTGAATCTTCATGAAATTTCTACTTGTCCAAGTTTTGTTTCCTTAAATTGAAGGATTGGACCTGTAATATAGAGAATTATAATGAATTTTTTTTTACGAACCCTTCTAAATGTGCTCACCGATCACACAATTGAACTCACCGTAAGTTGTTTTATGTTCAAGGAGCTCAACGTGTTATTTTTTTAAATTTTTCGACATATTTGAAATGAGTACGATTTGCACTAGAGGCTTCTAATAAATTTTATATTTACATAAAAAGTAGCAATTTTTTTTCATTTTTTTCAATTTTTTAAAAAATATTTTTAAAATATATTCAAATGCATTCATAAATTCAAGCTTTTCATATTTTCATTCAAAGATTGCTCTAAAATTGCAAGTTATATTTATTATAAATTTATTCAAATTATCATACCTATCTCACTATTAAAATTATTTTCATTCATATACGAAACTATTTCTAGGATTGCATATATTTAGGATGAACGATTTATGCAGTCTTTGAAATAAAGGAAAAATTAATATAAAGGGGGGTTAACATAATGCTCGATTTTAAGGTTTAATTGTGTGAATTAAGAAAAATAATTATATTTTTTAATGTTTAATTTACCGTTATCTTTTTGCGTTTATAGAAGTTTGGAAAAGCTTGCGGTTTCAGAAATATAAGGTGTCAAAAATTCAAATTTTACAAATTTTACAAGAGGCGGTGGAGATGGAAAAAAAATTTCTTCTAACGAAATGAACTAATTGTTAATGTCTAAAAGCCCCTAAATTTCAAGCTTCTACAGACTGGGGTCTAGAAGAAAAACGACATCAAAAATTTGGAAAAAAGGACTTTAGATAACGGTAAATTTGAACGGTCATTTTGCTTTTCTAAAGTTTAACTATAGTATACCCAGGGACGGACGGTTCATATATGCAAAGTATGCATTTGCAGTGGGCGACAGAAAAGCAGGGGCGCCGTTAAAAACTTTAAAAAACCATAAATTTAAAAAAAAAAAATTTTAATACAAATTTTAAAATTTAAATTCAATTTACAGCGAAATTAACTTTATAAAATGTACGTACATACAAATATAATATTTTATTCCTAATAATATAAAAAATTTACATGAAAAAGAACGGTCAGTTACGCAAAACACTAAGTATTGATCTTCATATATTTTAATTTCGCACCATACAATGAAATGTTCGTATAATGAAAACTATTGATTTATTTTCTTACTCTACACTACTCTTTTACTTTTATTTATTGTACGAATGTACACAAAATATTTTTTTCAATGTATGAATCATCAGAATTGCAATTATTAATTTTTCCTTTTACGTACATACTAGAATAAATTCGTATATTATGCCTTTAAACAGAAAATATACAGCTGTACACATTCAATCCAACATATACATGTTGACAACAACAATGAAATCGTCTCGTATAATATACATTGAAGCAAGATACGCAAAAAAATAAAAATATTCAAAAATATACATGCACACATAATTTATATTGTTTAATATGAATAAGATCAACACTCATGCGTACACTTATAATTATCTCATAAAGCAAGATTTTTATTTTGCTGAGATTGCTCCCTATCAACACTCGCTCGTACACGTGTAATTATGTCACAAAGCAAAATTTTTATTATGCTTAGTGATCTCCCTGGCTACACTCGTTCGCACATATTATATTTAAATTGTTTCATATATGCCCTTAGTTGTCGCCCACTCACCAAACAAACAAACACATTATTATAATGTATTACGTTTTCTGTATACTATTGTATTAGTAAACAACAAGAACAAAAAAAAACAAAAATTAAGAATGAGAATAGAAAGAAATTAGAAAAAGAGAATGAGAGCAATATTCTTAAATAATGGATGAGATTGTGTATACCAATATTTTCTTTTTGTTTAACAACAAAAAATTTTGAATGAATTTCAAAATTACATGATCGTTATGAATTTCTACTATTATGTTTTGCTTTCGTTTTTGAAAAAACTGTTATCAATCAGAATTAAATATTAATTGGTAATTACTTATATTGAATTGAAAAAATGTTGTTTAATAAAAAGCTTATTTTTTAAGCCACAAATTTTAGAACGAAATTTTGATTTTTCTTAAATTTTTGAATGCAAGTCGAAACTTTTTTTATACGCTGCTTCATTTCTCATGCGATTTGTGAAATAAAAAGCCAAATTTTATTCATAAATTTAAAATTACGAATAAAAATCAATTTTTACTTTTTTTCATATTCAAATAAGTTTTAAAAAAGTTCATTTGATATAATTTTCATACAAACTTTTACAATAAGTTTCACTTACGTCAAAAAGTAAATTTTTTGGTTGTTAAAATCAAAAAACCAAGTTTAAATGATTGATATAAATCTGATCAGAACTTCATAAAAAACATACAGTTAAATAAATTACCTTGTTTTTGAATTTATAAAACAAAAAATTGAAAGTTTAGTTCCAGACTTTAATTCTATAATTCAGCATAATAAGCTTACAAGAAAGTGCTTTATGATGCATGTGCAATGCCTATTAAATTTTGTTCACAGCAATAAAATAGGTGAAACGGTTGAAGGGGGGAGCGCACTTTTTAGGAACCGCTTAGGGCGACGAATACATGAGGACCGCGCCTGAGTACACCGCGCTAGGAGAAGCAAGCAACTGCCTTCTGCGTTTGCAAAATTTCAAAAATGCACATGATTTAAGTGAAACAAATAGTTAAAAAGGGCCATTTTTAGGGTTTTGTTGGGGTATAACTTCTAGAGGGCGGGAGATAGGTAAAAATTTTGTTCTGTGGAAATAAGTTTCTAGTAAAGATCTATATATGTATTAAATTTCAGCTTTCATGCAGAAGTTTTGTAAACAAAAAAAGTGTCCACGGACGGGCTGGCGGACGGACAGAGTAAAACTAATAAGCACTTCTCTTCAAAAAATTTTTGGAAAAGTGCTAAAATTTATGACTTGTCAAAAAATTTTACTATTAAATTAATAAATAAAAAAAAGTAATATGTCAAAAAATACTTCCCAAATAAGTAAAACCACTTTTAAAAAGTAATTTGTACTCTAATTTGAAGTAATTTTAAACTTCATATATGAGAATTATTCTCTTTTAGAGAAAAATCACTATATACTGCAGTAATTTTATATGATTTTTTCCTTAATGATATATTCTACAATGTATTAATTGCAGTAAGAATTACTATAATTTGTAGAGATTTTTAAACGATTTTTTAAAGTTTATATCCTAATCACTGTAATAGCTTTGTGAGCGATAAATTTCAAGCATTATTACATTATTATAAATTGTTTAGAAATGGTTATTCTAATTTTTTCTTAAATTTATGGAATGAAAAAGTTGTAGCAAGAGAATTATATTAATAGTAATATAATGTGCTTTTGAATTGCTAAAAAAATGGCGT